CATTGATTGGCGAGCTGAACAACTGTTTCGGTAGAATTATTTTTATTGAATAAACAATAACAGTTTTACTGGATTGAGGAAAAATGCTATTATCAGTAGAAAAACCACAGCCTGTCGATATTGTTTCGGAGTTGAGTAAGACCTACACAGTAAGCTTCACTGGGCCTCACAATGGTTTATCGTCGTAAATTTCAAGCAAGTGCCAGAATGATAAATAAGAAATCATTTATAAATATAATAGTAACTTCGTCATTGTCGGCCCTATGTCCGGATAAGAAAATCGTGGCGAAAGCTCCGGAAGAAATTTGCAAACTGTTCCTCATGGTATCGTTTTCTCACACTGTATTGGCCCGGTCGTCGCTCGGGTAATCAAGGGCGTACAGGTTGCTGGGGAACTGAGGTAGATTGCGAAAATTTGGTGATCAGAACCTGTGCTCCTTCTGGCAGCTAGAGAGTGGCAGCACGGCGATGACTGCTGAAGATATGCGTGAAAATGTCGAGGATAACAGTCAGTAGTGGAGTCATTTCACTTTCTGAACGGAGGATTCAGATAACCCAGTGCCATTATGGCACATCAGATAATGTTCCACGGCAAAGATACAGTAAATGTCGAAAAATTGGTACATCTTATTAAACGATAAAGAGCAGGAGCTAGTTGACGAGGTCACAAGTTATCGACTGGGCGTAGTTTGACTCTCTTTAACGAAGCACCATGACTTTGGAATTCTGGACCTCTGCGGGTGGAAACGTCTTTACCGAAATGTCGATTCTGTGACGTTCACTCAGTCCGGTGTTAGTGTAATGGTATAACCCAACCCAGTTTACAGAGTGTTTGAATGGAAGTTTGTCAGCAGAACAGTAGCAATCTTAGTTTGCAACAGCCGAAAACTTCGGCCTTGTCGCACAGGTCTATGCGCTTAATTGTCTAGGGAAGAATATGCGTCCTTCTTGGATTAAGTATAGGGTGATATGAACGATGAGCTACCTGCGGAATCCCTTATTTTGATGGGCGACTTCAATGCACATTTCAAAGTAGACAATGGAAAGTAGAAAGGCGTGTTTGGGAAGCGTTGCCCAAGCAGTCTTAATGTTAACGGCATGAAGTCTTTGGGGTTTTATACAAACGATGGACTCTATTATGAACACCTTTTTCGTGCATCGAAGTGCAAACCAGTATACTTGGCATATGTAAGCTTGTGCACAGAAACAATGATCGATTTGATAATCGTAACTTCTGACTTACGATACTCTGTTATGAATGTTCGCATTAAGAGAGAGCGCAGAGTGTCAATCCTCATCTTGTTGTTGGCTGTCTTCGCTACAACGGATAGATTATCATGCAAAGATCTGGCGCCCAAAGAAACCATTGAATCAAATGGAAAATAATATCTTGCGTGGATATGAGACGAATCTTGCAAATAACTTCGCATGATGGTTTGAGCAGATTCCAGTGATGACGGCTGATGTGGAAATCGAGTGGAACCATTTTAGGATTGGGTTACTCGGGACTGGTGCTGAATACTACAGTGTAAAACGCGTTGTGCTTCCGCCTGTGTGTGAAACGAACTTCCTGGTGGACACCAGAGGTTCAAGTGGCTGTCAGCAAGAAGAAGGTTGCATTCAAGAAGTCGAAGAAGAGAGCCCTCAATTTTACGGTACAATACGAAGAAGCACGTATGGCGGCAGGTAGTTGAAGCTGAGATTGATTCGTGAGAAAAGTTCGGTGAGGTACTTGAGCTGAATTTCCAGACGACAAGCAAAGAATGTTGGCAGACCATCCGCCACTTTCGAGATGAACAGAAGGGCAGTCGAAAGGTCCTGAAGGACGAGACCCACTACTCGTTTATCAAAGAATGAGGATATAGGGAGAGTACGTTGAAGAATTTCTTAGCTCTGTAGAAACGCTGAGAAATTCGCTTCTGCATCAGGGAGCGGATATTTACTTTCAGTAGATGAAGTTCAGTTTATAAAGCTGTAGAAAGCTTAAATCTGACGAAGCTGCTGGAATCAATAAAATCTGATCTGAAATGCTTAAAGCTATATGAGAACAAGGCATTTTATGGTTAATGAATTTCTCCCAAGCTGCAGTGACAACGGGAAGACACCACTGAACTGGAGAATTGAAGTGATATCTCTGAGTCTTTTTCTCTGCGACGTTGCCAAGAAAATGGCTTGCGAATCTTTGTTTCATCCTCATTAGAGGTATAAATCGTCGCAGTTTTAGCTGTCGAACTGAAGAAAAAGGTATTCGTGTGAGGTTATTTATTCTTTCGCCGTTTGCTGTCATTGCACTTGAGCATTTATTCTTATATGAGTACGCATGTTAGATTTTTCAAGAATGATATCACTGAATATCAAATGCAATATTTCTGCAGTTCTTTCAGCTCAAGTACTGAACGGATAGACGGATTCAGCCTTTTGTTATTGATTCATGTATGAAGTTTAACAGTTTGATGAATGGAATGAATCAGCTGCTGTTTATCAGTAGCGCCATATAACAGATATGTAGCCATTAAAAGCGCAAGAAAAATTTACTTTTCACCTCAAAACGTTTCTTTCGTACTGCTTGTTTGAATATTATAAAAGCCTTGTATAGGACTTCCTTGCACCGCTGGAATTTATCTTCGGAAAGGCATGGTCTGTGACGAAGACGCAGAGATTGTGCGTAAAATGAAAGCAGCTGGCGCCATATTGTTGGCAGTTACGAACGTCAGCGAATGCGGCATGTGGTGGGAGTCGGTCAATGGATTATTCCCTCGAACAAATAATCCATATGATTTCCGGCGCACGGCTGGCGGTAGTTCCGGTGGTGAAGCTGCACTGATCGCTGCAGGCGGCTCCGTCATAGGCATCGGATCTGATATTGGCGGCAGCATACGGATTCCGGCCTACTTTTGCGGAATATTCGGACACAAGCCTACTTCAGGTATGCAGTTAACACTGATCTCTAGTGTATTTGAAGTCTACCGACAAGTAGATACTGACTACATCGTATTCAGTAAATTTGTCTCACTAATGCTAAAGTTGCAGTTCTGTCCATTAAGGCGTTGTGCGAGTCGAAACGACTGACTGACGGTTTATGTAGTTTTGCCTTTAGTGGAGCACCAAAGGGAGAGTTTCATATTGCGCACATCTGGAACCAATGACGCCTGTCTATAAACTGCTTTAATGTTTTATGCGCATGACCTTCTTCTGATAGTTATACCACCCATTCTACGCGGACTTCAATCTTGAAGTGATTAGAAGTTTCTTCACGAGGCAAGCCAGTTCTTCTGTTTATTTATTCGTTGCAATGAAATCAGTTCATTTGATGCGGAGAAACTGTTGCTGGCATTATTTATTGTTGTTGCTGTCAGTCTTCATTATCTGGAATTCAGTAAGCTTAACGGCTCCGTTTGTTGCAGATTAATGATGCCAAACATGAAGAAGGTGATTCATTGGGTTAAGCGTTGACTGTTTTAACAAAAGACGTGCCACAAACAGGGTCTTTTCTAGTTGGTTTTGATGGCTTTTAAACTGGCCTTTTGTTCTGTTCCCGTTGGAAGATTCCCTTAAGAGGAATTCTTGTCACGCATTTTGTATTTTGAGCCGTTTTATCGACCTACAAGATTTGCGTTCGTGTAAATCTGCATAAAGCTTCTTCAGCCCAGGGTTTTCAGAATGTGGTCGTTCGTTATTCGGCGATACCAGATAAGCTTGAAGATCTTGCAATAAGTCTATTTTCCGGAAGTTTCATGAAATTAGAGAGCTTTTTTGATTGTTGGTTTTTCTCAATAACGAGGTTTTCAAAGTATTTTCTAGGTTTGTTCTTCTGCGCTGGATGTTTCGTCTGCAAGTAATCGTTTCAATTTGTTTGGAACTAATGATTCGTTCGACAACTATGAGTTGCAAAGCAAATAAAAAGGAACTTGAACATCTTCATATCCTGATGCTACGAAACCAAACTCGATGTACTCTTCCTTGAATTGTTGCTTGGTTCCTTTTCTTCGGTTCAATACATTTTCTTTTGGAGCTACCAATTTTGATAAAAAAAATTATCCATGGCTAAATAAGGAGAACTTTTATAACTACGAAAACTAAATTGATGATTATTAGTTACTACCTTACTTCAACCAAAAAAGCACAAAATCAGCCGAAATTTACACAAAGTTGACTTCCTCGCCGGTTTCAGAAACTTAATTCAAAAATAATACGTTAGAAGTTTAGCTAAAGTAAGAACTAAAGTAACAAACATATCGAAATCTCAACCAAGTGGTGCCAGTCTGAAACCATTTGTTCATCATCACAATTGGAATTACGCAATCAAAATTTTCTGAAATTATTTCAGGTTTAAAAACGCTAGGTAATTTCAATAGTTTCCAAAAATTTCGCGACACCTGCAAATTCTTCGCGAGACACTACCGTGTCGCGACATACAGGTTGAGAATGACTGGTTTAAACATACGGTGATAGAGTGATTCACCCTTGTTTCTCGGCAACGTATATTCGCTCTGCTTGTGAGAATATTTCTGTGGCACTACCATTTGGCCCTGCTGCACTTGTTTGCATTTGAGTAACTGGTATCGCAAGGCATCCTGAATCAGTGACTGTTATCAGCGGCAGTTGAAGATGTCTGCAAGAGCACCATCAAGTTGAAATTAGCATAGTTTCAGTAGAGGGGACTAACACCGTCAGATCCAGATGAGGCATTCGATTGACAATACAAAAGACTCTGTATAGTAACCTGGTCTTATGTAAACTGCATAATTATGTTATCACCGTTGCCAACGGTGCTCTGAATTCGTAAGGTATTTGTTTGTTCATTTCGTAGTAAATTAATCTCTTTCTAAACTCTTCAGGTAGATTTCTGCATTCCCAAAACTGCACGGCTTTCATTATTCATTGTAATGGAATAATTGTAGTTCATTGTAATAAAATAATGTACACCATGCATTTGGTTATTTTCATTATACATGGTTAGGGCAGCCAAATATTAGACAGCGATGGTAGAGTTTTACTTAGCAGTTAACGCGATTCGTTGTCAACAGTGGTAAGGTAATCAGGACCGAACGATGTTGATTGCTGACAGGCTGAATCCTGCCCTAACTGTGTTATAAGCGTTAGTAATGAATCGCGTCGACTGTTAAGTAAAACTTTATTTTACGGTATTACATTAGACTATCATACCAACGTATCAATAAAATATTCAGTTGACAAACTATATGCCCAGAATCAAGAAGTTCTTTAAGTGTTTTGACCTTACAGTGTAGATTATTTAATCGAGTTGATTAGTTAGCGCCTTTATTACAAGTTGCTGCTGCCGTTTTTAAATTTGGTTTTACATTCCTACGTGCATATCATCGTACGAATGACTCTCTGTATTGCCATGACGTGAGTGCTGAAGCCCTGGTTAATTGCTATGCCAGTTGAACACTTTTATTGGCAGTGTCAGGCATCACCGCTTCGTATTAATAATGTAAGGAATACTGAACCTGTAGTAGTAGGATGAAATTAATGCCAGTGGTTTGCAACGGTCTAGCTACTGATTCTGATGCTTCAAGGCTAACTGCATTGAACTGTATCTTCCTGAACAGCGCTCTCTTGTAACATCTGCAGGCAAGGACTTGTTGAAGCTATGTTTGATATGAATTTACATTTCCTTGTTAATCTCAAACCTCTTCTAGTCTGATGTATTGTTGCAGACACTAATCTTTGTCACTGACAATGACAACAGACGAACATCGTATCGCGCAGTGGATGTCTAGGACTCTCTGGCAATCTGGCGGACTGTTTGGAGCCAGTCCGTGACTGTCAGTAATTCAGTTTCTTCACAGAATGCTATCGTGAGAAATGGTTTGAGCATTTACGTCACGTTTTTCTTCGAAGCTTGAAAACCAATCGATCTTGTCCACAACTAAGGCATTCGATCTTACCATTGTCGACATTGTGATATTCAAAGGAAGGGAATCAAATGTAACGATCCAATATATAAAGCAGCCGTAGCGACCAGTAATACAACATGCACAGCAAAGAAACTACTCCAGAAGTTTTTTTTACATCATCTGAAATTTATACTAATTCAGTGCCAAAAAATGAGAAGAATTTTTGAATAAAATCTTTGCATGATATTTTGGGAATGGTACAAAGTTAACCTTCAGTTGCCATTTTTAACTCAAAGATTCTGTAATTTTATTCTCCATGCTGATTGCTAATAAAAGCAAAATTTCTACGTTTAGGAACTGTTTCGTCCGTCGGTTTCTATCCCCTATGTTTTGGGTATCAGAAAATCATGCATACGCCCGGGCCATTGTGCAGATTTGCGGAAGATTTGATTCCCATGCTTTTGGTCATGAGCAGCGACGACCATTTCAAACGGGAGTTAAGTGTTCCCGTAAGTTTGTTATTCATACTACTGCGTTATATGCTTTCTTTACAGTGAATCTGGTGTTACTGCTATTTGAAGAGCGCTTCATGAAAAGAGCTATGGATTGGAATACTAACAGATTGTTTCATAATCATATATTTCTGCGTTCATCTCTTGACCACTTGATGTAGTTTTGAGCTTTTCGTTGCCTCAGCTATCGCCGTAACCGAATAGCAACTCCAGCTGTATGGTTACATGACAACCTCTTTTACTGTGCCTGCTCATTACTTTGAGCCATTCGTATCATTCGAAAGTCTCTGGCTTGATATCCGTTGTAACTGCAGCTTTTCAACACTTGCTATAAAGTACCGGTTACTGTATCGCAGATCCGCCCTTAAAGTAGATCACCGTATTCCTCCATGTTGCGCGCTGGTTTGTTTCTTGAGATTCTCATCTTGAGCCGTTTGCTTAAACAGAGCGTCTTTAGTCCGTGACGTCCTCTGTATTTACAGCTTATAATCTTATTTTCCAACACTATATGACATCGATTACTGCATTGTAGAAGGAAATATTCCTCTCCAAAGTAGATCGCTTCTACCATACACACGAGAAGCTCGCTGGTTGGAGTAAACGTTGTATGCTGAACCAGTTTCCATAACAGGGCTAATTTCTTTTTTTAATTTCCACGTCACCCGTACCTTGAAGAGAATAGATTCATTCCTTACGGGGTCCTACCATTTAACCCTCCTGCGTCGAAGCCAACTCTACTGTACGCGGTTCAACTGTCCTTCGTTAATAACTGTTTCCGTGCCGTACAGCCACACTGACCTTACAGATGTAGGGTACAGGCGGATTTTCGTGGGAATAGTAACTCCATTTGGACAGGTTGCCAAAAGCACTGGAGGCTTGGGAGATTCTCCTGTTTAAATTGTATTGGTTGGTGCCGCATGAAGCTGATATACTGATAAACATCCTGAGCTTCACTTTCCTGTACCACTTGTAGATCAGCTGTGCCGTATATTTGGGCGCAACTTTCGGTTTCC